GGCCACCCGGACCCCCGCGCCACTACCCGGGCAGGCACCCGCTGCCAGGACGGGAGCACTGGTGCAGGCGTGCGCGCGTGGGGGCTGCACCGTGTCCTCGTCGAGCTGGGCTCTGCTCACTGTGAGAGCAGCTGCCGGCCTTGGCATGGGGCCCGGCGAGGACCGTGCGTGGCCCCGCACGGGAAACGGCCCTTGTTATGGCCGTCGCTACGACGCTGGGAGCAGCTGGGGGCTTGGAGGCAGCGCGGGGCCTCGAGCGTGCTGTGACCCGGCCACAAAAGCACCTCCTGCTCCCCGGGTGCCGCGGTGGGGAAGGCACTGGGGCTGCCCCGCTCTCCCCTCCATCCTGCCCCGCAGCCCCGGAGCGGGGTCCCTGCCTTTGCTCCCGCGGGTGCTGGCCGTCCCCCAAAGTCCCCTCCGGGTACCCAGCAGGAGCCGGGCTTCAGCATCGCTGCCCAGCTCCCCCGGCCGCCCCTCCTGTTCAAAGCCCAGCAACCAACAGCTTCCTTTCCTCCTGGTGGCTGAAAGCCACAGGTGAAAGTATCTGCCTGGTGGGTTAAAATGCGGTTACAGATTTTTGCCCAGGAGGTGGCCAGCACAGAGCTGCGATCGTCCCCGAAAGTCCTCCGGCCCTGCTGCAACTGTCCTCCGGGGGGGGGTCCCTCACCAGCCTTCGCTGCCTCCGGGCTTGGGTCTTCAGCCAACCTTTGCAATCTCTAACGTCTCTTGCTTGTGCAGTCTCGGGTTGGGATGCTCTACATCCGCAGAGCAGTCCCCACGTTTGCCTCCTCCACCGGCACCGCTATCGCCGCGCGTCCCCCGGCCGTGACCGGCCACGGGGTCCCTCTGCCTCGTCACGCTCTGCCCCCCCTCTCCGCAGGCTTCTACAACGGCCACACCAAGGTGGCCATCAAAAACCTGAAGCAGGGCAGCATGTCACCCAGCGCCTTCCTGGCAGAGGCCAACCTCATGAAGAACCTGCAGCACCCCCGGCTGGTGCGGCTCTACGCCGTGGTGACGAAGGAGCCCATCTACATCATCACGGAGTACATGGAGAAGGGTGAGGGCACCCGGGTGCTGCCCGCCACGGGTGGGGG